AAATTGTGTTAAAAACTAGGAAGTGTTAAAGTCTGGTAAAAATTTGGTAAATCAGATCGAATAAAAATTTTATAAAAAAATTGAAGTATGATAAATTAGGCTTAAAAATATTATTTCCATATTTTAAAATTATGGAAAATAATATAAACCATTGGATTTGAAGATTTAATTCCATGTTAAATTTGGATCGTTTGATTAAAGTGGAAAATGGTAAAGTGGGAAATATTTTGTTCATCTTTGACTTTTGGAAGATGATAAGGTTGATGTGGCTTGGTTTGATGGTAAATATGAAGTTTTATTAAGGTTAAATTAGTCTTTTCCAATTAAATGAATAAAATATTTATTTAAGCTTAAATTAAAGGTAAATTAACAAGAAATTTATATAAAATTTAATGAAACCTTGTTCATATTTTCTCCTTCAAGTTGTGAAATCCTCCAAAGGTGATAGAAAGTTTATTTCCAATTTTTTAGCAATTTCCTTTGGATTTTGGGTTATATTGTGAGATAAAGAATTGTTCTACGCGAAAAAATTATCTTTTGGTACCATTTATGCTTGTTAATTGTGTTTGATTTCAAAGATCCCAAATTCTAGGGTTTATGAAATTGATGATGAATCTTGATGTTTTTGAGGTTGTAGATTCATTTTCAAGCTTGTTTGACGAGTAAAACATGTTAAATCTTCATAGAAATGTTTCCTTAAGATTCGACCAAACTATTAAGTTGAGGAACTTTATGTTTTGATGAAATTTGATTAGGGATTTGATTGTAGAGATGTTTTAAGGTTGGATAGAGGTTGATTTTATGCTTGAATTGAATCAAAATCAAGAAAAATTATGAAAAACCTAGTATAGGAACTTTGTAACTTCGGCCATGGCTTAAATGGATGATAAAAATTATGGAAAACTTATGTAAGGGATGGAAAAGAGGTAAGAATTATTCTACAAGCCTTAGAAAAATTTATAGACCATTTGGTAATTTTCAAAAAGTTGGGGGACCAAATCGATAATTTTAGAAAAATCATGTGTCGTTGTGTAATTGTTCTATAGTTGATGTAATATGCTGGAAATTTCTGTTTAGAAATTGAAATGAGAGTTAGGATGTGAAATCGGATCATTATGGAACTTTGAAAAGTTTAATGATTTATATGATGCGATATTTGAATAGTTTTTAGTGTTTACCTTAGTAAATGGTATTGGGTGGTAATTATTTCAATGCTGAAATTTTGGTATTGAAACTTTAAGTGGTAAAATTGTGAAGGACCATTTTATATAAGTTGCAAAAGTTGGTGGCAAAACTAAAAGAATTAATAAGTGTTGAAAAATTTTGATAGTGAATAAGTTTCAAGTATGATTATGGATTTTGTTTTGGAAATGTATTTATGTTAGTACAACACTAATATAATTTCTGACTTTGTATAGATCGTGACTGATTTTGTGTTTGGAACAAATCGTTTTTAAAAAAGAACAAGTTAGAAGCTTAGTAGGGCTAATATTTTGTTATATATTTATAAAGTGTCAATGTGAGTGCAGTGCATGCATGATATTATACATGGATGTTGTATACATTAGTAGAAAGACTTGCGATGAGTCTACCTTATTTTTTCTTATTATTAGCATGAAATTTTATGTCATTCATCATATTATTGACATATCCTAAAAATGTCAAGATTTAAAATATAATGCATTGGTTACTCATATTGTAATGATATGCCATGGATGATAATTCGGGTATGAAGTGCCTATTGCTAAAACCATATCGATATACGTTGCCATCGATGACTTAATTCATGACTAGATGCCCAAGTATGTTATTGAGGTTCAGTGGTATTAATGGCATGCCATAGAGTCTAGCAGCTACAAATTTAAGTAATACTAGAGTGTCTAGTGAAGACACATAGTACAAGTCAGGTGGGCAAGGCCCGACCTCAGCACTACGGTGCATTATTAGGTGAGCAAGACACGTATTTCACTAGATTAATGGCATGCTATAGAGTCTTAGTGCGTTGAAAAACAATTAAATTTTATTCCATGCATGAGTTGTATTGCCCTGTTTATTATTTTAATTACCTCACTAAGTATATAATTAGTGTGTGATGATTTTCACACATGGGTAAAGATCAGGAGTAGAAGTAAGGAGTGTTGAGCAACACCGAGCATCAAAGAGTATATTACAATATCAATAAGACGTCCTTTTATGTTATTTTGACTTAGTTAGTGACATGTGTACATATGAAAATTCTAGGTTCTCTATTGAACTATTTTGGAACTGGTTTGTAATGGCTAAACTAAAATTGTTTTACTATATTTCATCATGGGTAGTATTAACCAGTATTACTTTTATAAATGGATGTATTTGATATTAATATGTGTTTTAAATATCATTGATAATTTTATGCTATTTAATATTTTATATTATTAATTACAATTTGGAGAAAATAAATTTTAAATCACTTTTGAGTTGAGAAATATTTTAAGTAATTCATGTGACATCTATAACGTATTGGCATAAGTATACAGGTAGTAGGTGTTACATTTATTGGTATCATAGCAACAAGTTTTGTCGTTTCTGGACATGGAATGAGTCTATCAAGTTAAGAATGTATACATGCCATTAGGATGTCACAATTTTACTGATAGTTGTATATATGTTGTGATGCTTATTATTTAGTAAAGTTAATCCTTACTAATGATAGATGATTTTGACTAAGTTCAGATGTCGGATCATCAGGAATCTAGTAGGGCAGCTGAGAATGTTACACTTGCACAAAGTGAGAGTAATGAGGTGAACCAAAATCCACCTCTTGCTCAGCCTCATGTAAAGCCATCTAATCTGAATCGACAGGACATGCCTATTCAAGATTGGGGGTTGTTCTTGCAAGCTCTAGATAACATTATTAATCATCGGGAACCAGTATCGGTTCCAAAAGAATTGAGGAAAATGAGAGCACCTAAATTTTGAGGTGATACAGATGTTGATCTGATGGTCGTCGATTACTTATTGAATAATGTTAAGAACATATTGAATAGAATTCCTTGTGATGATCAAGAAAGCTGGAAGGAGTGGTGTCTCTACTGATTGAAAAAACTAATGTGTGGTGGAATACAGTCACAGTATGAGTCAGTAGCAGAAAAAGTTATGCCTCCTCAACATCTTCTAACAAAAAGGGATTTTTTGTAGGAGAAAAAGTTGACCTTGAAGATCTAGAGGCGAAAAAGGCTCAGACAAGCAAAAGGTTTGGAAACTCTTACTCTGAACCATTTTCCAAACGCAACAAGGGTCAGTAGTAGAAAAGTTATGCCTCCTCAGCATCTTCAAAAAAAAGGAATTTTATGGAGGAAAGCTTAGGCACACATAGACAACTTTGGAAGATATTAAAGGTTGGGGATCTCGCCCTAAACCAGAATATGAGTATTGTGGAATGAATCATTTCGGTCAGTGTCGGTTCATTGAAGGAAATGCTATCATTGCAAGCAAGCTGGACATTATAGAAATAAATTTCTAGAACTTTATCCAGACCAGTCAGTACCAATACCTCAACGAGATGGATATAAAAAAGATAGAAAACCAGGAACATTCGAGGTTGCATCGAATCATAAACGTATTATTATTTCTTGTGTTTATCATATCAAGACTGATGATGATCGAGATGCTCTAGAAATTATCGCAAGTACCTTTTATCTCTTTGATGAACATGTTTTTGTGTTGATAGATCCTGGTTCTACTTAGTCTTACATTAGCGTAAGGTTGGTTAGAGATAGGGGAATTTCTTTATAACCTATTTCTAGTGATATTGTCGCAATCAATTTGTTGGTCTATAGTGTGAGGATTCGTTTGATATGTAAGAATTGTCCGATAAAGATACATGAGATAGATTTTCCTGAAAATCTGTTAGAATTACCTTTTGAGGAGTTTGGAATAATCTTAGGCATGGATTGGCTATCTTACTAATATGGTTGGGTAGATTTTCGTTTAAAGAGATTTTTTAAATGATGCAAAAGGTCCAGAGATGATATTTGTTGGAGAAAGGGTGAATGCCTTAGCTAATGTGATTTCAGCCTTTACATCTAAGAAATAACTATCACAAGGATATCAAACAATTTTTGTGAATGTGGTGGATACAAGAGCTGTGAAAGTTAAAATTGAAGACATTCCAATAGTGTGAGAGTATCTAGAGGTGTTTCCTGATGAATTATATTGATTACATCCTGATAGAGAAGTGGAGTTTGGTATTGATGTATTTCCAAGTACATCGCCTATTGCGATGGCTCCTTATCGAATGGGCCCAACATAATTAAGGGAATTAAAGTCTCAATTGCAAGAACTTCTAGATCGAGGAATCATTAGACCGAGTGTTTCACCTTGGGGAGCACCGATGTTATTTGTGAAAAAGAAAGACGAATCCATACGATTATGTATAGATAATCATCAGTTAAACAAAGTAATTATCAAGAACAAATATCCTCTTATGAGGATTGATGACTTGTTTGACCAGCTTAAGGGAGTAGCAGTTTTCTCTAAGATTGATCTTCAATCGGAATATCACCAATTAAAGATTAAAGAGAAAGATATTCCAAAGACAACTTTCAAAATATGGTATGGTCACTACAAGTTCGTAGTGATGTCGTTTGTTTTGACCAATGCTCCGGCAGCATTCATGGATTTGATGAACTGAGTATTTCAGCCTTACTTGGATCAGTTTGTGGTGGTATTTATTGATGACATTCTGGTTTACTCGAGTACAAATAAAGAGCATGATGCTCACCTTCGTACGGTGCTCGAGATCCTTAAGGAGAAAAAATTATATGCCAAGCTATCAAAGTGTGAGTTTTGGCTGTCAGAAGTTGTTTTTCTTGGTCATGTGGCCTCGAAAAAAGGCATATGGGTTGATCCTAAGAAAGTTCAGGCGATAACAAAGTGGAAATCCCTAATGAATGCTGCAGAGATTTGAAGCTTCGTAGGATTTGTTGGTTATTATCGAAGGTTTGTGAAGAAATTTTTCGATGATTTCTTCTCTGTTGACCAAGCTCTTGAAAAAATATGTTCCATTTATTTGGACCGAGAAATGCCAAGAGAGTTTTGAAACTCTAAAGAAGATTTTAACGGGAGCACCAGTGCTGGTACAACCAGAATCTGTTAAAGAGTATGCGTTATATAGCGATGCACCTCATAATAGTTTAGGTTGTGTACTTATGCAAGAAGGTAAAGTTGTAGCTTATTCTTCCTAAAAACTAAAGACGCGTGAGAAAAATTATCCTACACATGATCTTAAGTTGGAAGCAATTCTATTTGCACTAAAGATTTAGCATAATTATTTTTACAATGAGTGGTGCTACATCTACACGGATCATAAAAAAGTGTAAAGTTTATGTTGCTTCAAAAATGGCTAAACTTGAGATAGAGAAGATGGATAGAACTCTTGAAGGATTATGATTTGCTCATTGATTATCATCCAGGGAAGGAAAATGTAGTAGCAGATGCACTTACTAGGAAGACTTTTACAGCTTTGCGAACTTTAAACGTGTGTTTATCTTTAAAGGAAAATGACGCTCTGCTGGTTGAATTAAGGATAAAGTCGATGCTTCTAGATCGGATAAAAGAGATAGAAAAGAAAGACGGGAGATGCTTGGAAAGGATTTCACAAGTGGAAAAAGGTGAGACTAAAGACTTTGAAGTCAAGTCTGATGGATGTTTTCATTACCGAGAAAGAATATGCATTTCGCATGATGATGAGTTGAAGAAAGACATTATTTCTAAAACACATTATAGTTCACTAACTATGCACCCATTCTGGAACAACATATATCAGGATTTAAAGAATTGATTGTGGTGGCCTGGCATGAAAAGAGCTATCACTAAGTTTGTTGCTATATGTCTGACATGTCAACAAGTAAAAGCTGAACATCAAGTACCTTCAGGATTGTTGCAACCGATTTCAATTCCATAGTGTAAGTGGGAAAGAGTCGCTATGCATTTTTTTATAGGGTTACCTTTGGCACCAAATAAAAATGATTCCATTTTGGTGATAGTTGATGGGTTAACTAAGTCGGCATAATTCATTCCAGTGTGAATGAACTATTCATTATATAAGTATGCAGAGTTGTATATAAAAGAGATAGTTCGACTGCATGGAGTGCCAGTATTTATAGTATCTGACAGGGATCCAAGGTTCACATCAAGATTTTGGAATTCTTTGCATAAAGCATTAGGTACTCGATTGAATTTCAGTACGACCTTTCATCCACAGACGGATGGTCAGTCAAAGCGGAGTATCTATATATTAGAGGATATGCTGAGGGCATGTTTGATTGAGTTCATGGGATCGTGGGAAAAGTATTTTCCTTTAGAAGAATTCTCCTACATAATAGTTATCAATCGAGCATCAAGATGGCTCCGTACGAAGCTTTATATGGAAGAAAGTGTCGAACACCATTAAATTGGTTCGAGTTAAAAGATCGGGATCTTATTAGCCCTAATTTATTGAAGGCGATCAAGGATAAAGTGAGGATAATTCAAGATAATCTCAAGATAGCATCTGATAGACAGAAGTCTTATGCAAACTTGAAGCGAAAAAATATTATATTCCATTAAGGTGATAAAGTCTTTCTTAAAGTATCACATTGGAAAAAGATAATGTGTTTTGGGCTCAAAAAAAATTAAGTCCAAGATTCATTGGAACTTATGAGATCTTAAAGAGAGTTCGACTGGTGGCCTACGAGTTAGCATTACCTTCAGAGTTAGACAACGTTCATAATGTTTTTCATGTGTCGATGCTTAGAAAGATTCGATCAAATCCTTCACATGTTATTACACCAAAGAAAATTGAGATCCAGCCAGAATTGACTAATGAAAATGAACCAGTACAAATTTTGGCTCGAAAAATCAAAGAAATTCATAGCAAGATGATTCCTCTAGTTAAAGTGCTTTGGCAAAATCATAAAGTCGAGGAAGCTACTTAGGAAAGAAATGAGGACTTGAGGAAGCAATATCCACACCTCTTCACATCAGGTACGTCTTAAAATTTGATGACAAATTTTCTTAAAGGGGAAGAATTTTAATAACCCAAAATTTTGGTTAGTGACCAAAATGTAAATTTTAAAAGTTTAGTAGTCAAAGTAGAAAATTAAGAAAAATATAGGGACCTAAGTTGTAATTTTCCCAAAAAGAATTTTTATTCCATAAATGTATAGTTTACTCTTGAAATTGGGGTTTTATTGAAATCATATTCTTGATCTGGAAATTGTGTTAAAAACTAGGAAGTGTTAGAGTTCGGTAAAAATTCGGTAAATCAGATCTAATAGAAATTTTGGAAAAAAATGAAGGATAATAAATTAGGCTTAAAAATATTATTTCCAAATTTTAGAATGATGGAAAATAATATAAACCATTGGATTTGAAGATTTAATTCCATGTTAAATCTGGATCGTTAGATTAAAGTCACAAGATTGTAATTTTTAGAAAGTTGCATGGGGAAAATGGTAAAGTGGGAAATATTTTGTTCATCTTTGACTTTTGGAAGATGATAAGGTTGATGTGACTTGGTTTGATGGTAAATATGGAGTTTCATTAAGGGTAAATTAGTTTTTTTCCCAATTAAATGAATAAAATATTCATTTTAAATTAAAGGTAAATTAACATGAAATTTATCTAAAATTTCATGAAACCTTGTTCATATTTTCTTCGTCAAGCTGTGAACTTCTCCAAGGGTGAGAGAAAGTTTATTTTCAATTTTTTAGCAATTTCCTTTGGATTTTGGGTTATGCCATAAGATAAAAAATTGTTCAACGCGAAAAAATGTTATCTTTTGGAACCATTTGTTCTTATTAATCTTGCTTGATTTCAAAGATCTCAAATTCTAGGGTTTATGTTCATATTAGGGTTTATGGAATTGATAATGAATCTTGATGTTTTGAGATTGTAGATTCATTTTCAAGCTTATTTGATGATTTAAACATGTTAAATCTTCCTAGAAATGTTTCCTTAAGATTCAACCAAACTATTAAGTTGAGGAACTTTATGTTTTGATGAAATTTGATTAGGGATTTGATTTTAGAGACATTGTAAGGTTGGATGGAGGTTGATTTCATGCTTGAATCGAACCAAAATCGAGTAAAATCATGAAAAAACTAATCTAGGAACTTTGTAACTTTAGGCCATCGCTTAATTTGGGGACCATTTGGTAATTTTCAAAAGTTAGGGGACCAAATTGATAATTTTAAAAAAATCATGGGTTGTTGTGTAATTGTTCTATAGTTGATGTGTTGTACTAAAATTGTTGTTTATGAATTGAAATGAGAGTTATGATGTGAAATTGGATCATTATAGAAATTTGGAAAGTTTAGTGATTTATATGTAATATTTGAAAATTTTGGAGTGTTTAAATGTAATTATACCTTTGTAAATGTACTTGGGTGGTAATTATTTCAATGTTGGAATTTTTGTATTGCAACTTTAAGTAATAAACTGGTGAATGACCATTTTATATAAGCTGCAAAAGTTGGTTGCATAACTAGAAGAATTAATAAGTGTTGAAATATTTTGATAGTGAATAAGTTTCAAGTATGATTATGGATTTTATTTTGGAAATGTATTAATGTTAGTACAATACTAACATATGTATTGATATAATTTGTGACTTTGTACATATCGTGACTGATTTTGTGTTCGAAACTAATCGTTTATAAAAGGTACAAGTTAGAAGCTTAGTGGGGCTAATATTTTGCTATATAAAGTGTCAAGGTGAGTACAATACTAACATATGTATCAATATAATTTGTAACTTTGTACATATCGCGACTTGTTTCGTGTTCGGAACTAATCGTTTATAAAAAGGAACAAGTTAGAAGCTTAGTGGAGCTAATATTTTTTTATATATTTATAAAGTGTCAAGATGAGTGCAATGCAATCATGATATTATACATGGATGTTGTATACATCAGTAGAAAGACTTGCGATGAGACTACCTTATTTTTTATTATTATTAGCATGAAATTTTATGTCATTCATCATTTTATTGACATATCCTAAAAATGTCAAGATTGAAAATATAATGCATTGGTTACTCATATTGTAATGATATGCTATGGATGGTAATTCGGGTATGAACTGCCCATCGCTAAAACCATATCGATATACGTTGCCATCGATGACTTAATTCATGACTAGATGCCCAAGTATGTTAGTCTAGCAGCTACAAATTTAAGTAGTACTAGAGTGTCTAGTGAAGACACATAGAACAAGTCAGGTGGGCAAGGCCCGACCTCAGCACTACGGTGCATTATTAGGTGAGCAAGGCTCGACCTCAGCATTATTGTGCTATATTTGACTCCTACACCGGGTTCCTCATGGATTAATAATAATTTGGGCTATACTTATTGGTGAAATTGATTATACTTATATCATTGTCATGTTAATTATAGTGAATTATTGAACATGCAGGTAAGATGATCTTAGTGCGTTGGAAAGCAATTACATTTAATGAGTTGTATTGCACTGTTTATTATTTTAATTACCTCACTAAGTATATACTTAGTGTGTGATGGTTTCCACGTATGGTTAAAGATCAGAATAGAAGTAAGGAGTATTGAGCAACACCGAGCATCGAGTAGTATATTAACAAGTATTACTTTTATAAGACATTTTTTATGTGATTTTGACTTAGTTAGTGGCATGTACTTATGAATATTATAGGTTCTTTGTTGAACTATTTTGGAACTAGTTTATAATGGCTAAACTAAATTGTTTTACTCTATTTCATCATGGATAATATTAACTAGTATTACTTTTATAAATGGACGTATTTGATATTAATATGTGTTTTAAATATCATTGATAATTTTATGCGATTTAATATTTTATATTTTTAATTACAATTTGGAGAAAATAAATTTTAAATCACTTTTGAGTTGAGAAATGTTTTAAGTAATTCATGTGACATCTATAACGTATTGGCATTAGTATATAGGTCGTAGATGTTACACTTATTGGTATCATAGCTATAAGTTTAGTCGTTTCTAGACATGGAATTAGTCTATATCAAGCTAAGAATGTATACATGACACTAGGATGCAAAATTTAACTTTTAATTGTATATATGTTGTGACACTTATTATTTAGTAAATTTACTCCTTACTAATGATAGATGATTTTAACTATGTTCAGATATCGGATCATCAGGAATCTAGTAGGACAGCTGAGCATGTAACTCTTACACAAAGTGGGAGTAATGAGGTGAACCAAAATCCACCTCTTGCTCAGCCTCATGTATAGCCGCCTAATATGAATCAGCAGGAGGATATGCATGTTCAAGATTGGGGGTTGTTCTTGTAAGCTTTGGATAACATTATTAATCGTCGGGTACAAGTATCGGTTATAAAAGAATTGAGGAAAATGAGAGCACCTAAATTTTGAGGTGGTACAGATGTTGATCTAATGGTCGTCGATTACTGATTGAATGATGTTAAGAACATATTGAATAGAATTCCTTGTGATGATCAAGAAAGCTGGAAGGAGTGGTGTCTCTACTGATGGAACAAACTGATGTGTGGTGGAATACAATCGCAGTACGAGTCAGTAGTAGAAACGTTATGCCTCCTCAGCATTTTCCAACAAAAATGGATTTTCTAGAGGCGAAAAAGTTGACCTTGAAGATCTGGAGGAGAAAAAGGCTCAGACAACCAAAAGGTTTGGAAACTCTTACTCTGAACCATTTTCCAAACGCAACAAGGGTCAGTAGCAGAAACATATAGCTTTGGAAGATATTAAAGGTTTGGGATCTCTTCCTAAACCAGAATGTGAGTATTGTGGAAATAATCATTTCGATCAGTGTCGGTTCATGGAAGGAAAATGTTATCATTGCAAGCAAGCTGGACATTATAGAAATAAATGTCCAGAACTTTATCCAGACCAGTCAGTAGCAGTACCATAGTGAGGTGGTTATAAAAAGGATAGAAACCAGGAACATTCAAGGTTGTATCAAATCGTAAACGCATGGCTATTTCTCGAGTTTATCATATCAAGACTGATGATGATCGAGATGCTCTAGAAATTATCGCAAGTACCTTTTATCTCTTTGATGAACCTGTTTTTGTGTTGATAGATCCTGGTTCTACTTACTCTTACATTAGCGTAAGGCTAGTTAGAGATAGGGGAATTTCTTTATAACCTATTTCTAGTGATATTGTGGCAATCAATCCGTTGGGCCATAGTGTGAGGATTCGTTGGATATATAAGAATTGTCTGATAAAGATACAGAAGGTAGATTTTCATGCAAATCTATTGGAATTACCTTTTGAGGAGTTTGGAATAATCTTAGGCATGGATTGGTTATCTTCCTACTATGGCTTGGTAGATTTTCGTTTATAGAGATTTTTTTAAAGGATGCAAAAGGTTCACAGATAATATTTGTTTGAGAATGGGTGAATGCCTTATCTAATGTGATTTCAGAATTTACTGTTAAGAAATTGTTGTCACAAGGATGTCAAGCAATTTTAGTGAATGTGGTGGATACAAGAGGTGCGAAAGTTAAGTTGGAAGACATTCCAACAGTGTGATAGTATCCAGAGGTGTTTCCTGATGAATTACATGGATTACCACCTGATAAAGAAGTGGAGTTTGGTATTGATGTATTTCCAGGTACATCGCCTATTTCGATGGCTCCTTATCGAATGGCCCCAAAATAATTAAGGGAATTAAAGTCTCAATTACAAGAAATTTTAGATTGAGGATTCATTAGATCGAGTTTTTCACCTTGAGGAGCACTGATGTTGTTTGTGAAAAAGAAAGACGGATCCATACGATTATGTATAGATAATCGTCAGTTAAACAAAGTAATTATGAAGAACAAATATCCTTTTCCGAGGATTAATGACTTGTTTAACCAGTTTAAAGGAGTAGCAGTTTTCTCTAAGATTGATCTTCAATCGGAATATCATAAATTAAAGATTAAGGACAAAGATATTCCGAAGACAACTTTCAAAATATGGTATGGGCACTACAAGTTTATGGTGATGCCATTCGTTTTGACCAATGCTCCGGTAGCATTCATGGATTTGATGAACTGAGTATTTCAGCCTTACTTGGATCAGTTCATGATGGTATTTATTGATGACATTCTGGTTTACTCAAGGATAAATAAAGAGCATGATGCTCACCTTCGTACGGTGCTCGAGATCCTTAAGGAGAAAAAATTATATGCCAAGCTATCAATGTGTGAGTTTTGGCTGTCAGAATTTTCTTTTCTTGGTCATGTGGTCTCGGCAGAAGGCATGAGGGTTGATCCTAAGAAAGTTCAGGCGATAGTGGAGTGGAAACCCCCAAAGAATATTGCATAGATTTGAAGCTTCTTAGGATTTTCTGGTTATTATCGAAGGTTTGTGAAGAACTTTTCGATGATTACTTCTCTGTTGACCGAGATCTTGAGAAAACATGTTCCATTTAGTTGTTCCAAGAAATGCCAAGAGAGTTTTGAAACTCTAAAGAAGATTTTAACGGAAACACCAGTGCTGGTACAACCAGAATCTGTTAAAGAGTATGCGTTATATAGCGATACATCTCATAATGGTTTAGGTTGTGTACTTATGCAAGAAGGTAAAGTTGTAGATTATGCTTCCCGATAACTAAAGACGCACGAGATAAATTATCCCACACTTGATCTTGAGTTGGAAGCAGTTGTATTTGCACTAAAGATTTAGCATTATTATGTAAAGTGAGTGGTGCTAGATCTACACGGATTATAAAAAAGTGTAAAGTATTTGTTGACTCGAGAGCTGAACTTGAGGTAGAGAAGATGGATAGAACTCTTGAAGGATTATGATTTGGTAATTTATTATCAACCAGGGAAGGAAAATGTAGTAGTAGATGCACCTAGTCGAAAGACTTTTGTAGCTTTACAAACTTTAAACGCGTGTTTATCTTTAAAGGAAAATGGCGCACTATTGGTTGAATTAAGAATAAATCTGATGCTTCTAGATCGGATAAAAGAAAGACGGGAGATGCTTGGAAAGGATTACACAAGTGGAAACGGTGAGACTAAAGACTTAGAAGTCAAGTCTGATGGTTGTTTACATTACCGAGGAAGAATATGCATTCTGCATGATGATGAGTTGAAGAAATACATCATTTCTTAAGCACATTATAGTTCACTGACTATGCACCCAGGCGGGAACAAGATATATCAGAATTTAAAGAATCGATTTTGATGGCCTGGCATGAAAAGAGCTATCACTGAGTTTGTTGCTACATGCCTTATTTGTCAACAAGTAAAAGCTGAACATCAAGTACCTTCAGGATTGTTGCAACAGATTTTAATTCCATAGTGGAAGTGGGAAAGAGTCACTATGTATTTTGTTATAGGGTTACCTTTGACACCAAATAAGAATGATTCCATTTGGGTGATAGTTGGTGGGTTAACTAAGTCGGCACATTTCATTCCAGTGTGAATGAACTATTCATTAGATAAGTATGCATAGTTGTATATAAAGAGATAGTTTGACTGCATGGAGTGCCAGTTTTGATAGTATCTGACAGGGATCCAAGGTTCACATCAATATTTTGGAATTCTTTGCATAAAACATTGTGTACTCGATTGAATTTCAATACGGCCTTTCATCCACAGACGGATGGTCAGTCAGAGCAGACTATCCAGATATTAGAGGATATGATGAGGCAAGTGTGATTGAATTCAAGGGATCGTGGGAAAAGTATTTTCCTTTATAAGAATATTCCTATAACAACAGTTGTGAATCGAGCATCAAGATGGCTCCGTACGAAGCTTTATATAGAAGAAAGTGTTGAACACCATTAAATTGGTTCGAGTTAAAAGATCGGGATCTTATTAGCCCTAATTTATTGAAGGAAGTCAAGGATAAAGTGAGGATAATTCAAGATAATCTCAAGATAGCATCTGATCGACAGAAGTCTTATGCAAACTTGAAGCGAAAAAATATTGAATTCCATGAAGGTGATAAAGTCTTTTTTAAAGTATCACATTGGAAAAAGATATTGCGTTTTGGGCTCAAAGAAAAATTTAGTCCAAGATTCATTGGACGTTATGAGATCTTAAAGAGAGTCAGCCCGGTGGCCTACCAGTTAGTATTACCTTCAGAGTTAGACAAAGTTCATAATGTTTTTCATGTGTCGATGCTTAGAAAGTATCGATCGAATCCTTCACATGTGATTACACTAGAGGAAATTGAGATCCAACCATAATTGACTTACGAAGATAAACCAGTACAGATTTTGGCTCAAGAAATAAAAAAAAATACATTTCAAGACAATTCCTCTAGTTAAAGTGCTTTGGCGAAATCATAAACTCGATGAAGCTACTTGAGAAAGAAAAAAGGACTTGAGGAATCAATATCCACACCTCTTCACAACAGGTGCGTCTTAAAATTTGAGGACAAATTTTCTTAATGGGAAGTATTTTAATACCCCAAAATTATGGTTAGTGACCAAAATGTAAATTTTAAAAGTCTATGGCCAAAGTAGAAAATTAAGAAAACTTTAAGGACTTAAGTGGTAATTTCCAAAAAAGAATTTTTATTCCATAAATGTATAGTTTACTCTTGAAATTGGGGTTTTATTGAAATAATATTCTTGATCTGGAAATTGTGTTAAAAACTAAGAAGTGTTAAAGTTCGGTAAAAATTCGGTAAATCGTATCTAATAGAAATTTTGGAAAAATTGAAGGATGATAAATTAGGCTTAAAAATATTATTTCCACATTTTATAATGATGGAAAATAATATAAACAATTGGATTTGAAGATTTAATTCCATGTTAAATCTAGATCGTTGGATTAAAGTGACAATATTGTAATTTTTAGAAAGTTGCATGGGGAAAATGGGGAAAATGGTAAAGTGGGAAATATTTTGTTCATCTTTGACTTTTGGAAGATTATAAGTTGATGTAACTTGCTTTGATGGTAAATATGAAGTTTTATTAAGGGTAAATTAGTTTTTTTCCAATTAAATGAATAAAATATTCATTTAAGTTTATATTAAAGTAAATTAACATGAAATTTATCTAAAATTTCATGAAACCTTGTTCATATTTTCTCTGTCAAGCTGTGAACTCCTCCAAAGGTGAGAGAAAGTTTATTTTCAATTTTAAGCAATTTTCTTTGGATTTTGGGTTATGACATGAGATAGAAAATTGTTCTACGCGAAAAAATGTTATCTTTTGGTACCATTTGTTCTTGTTAAGCTTTCTTGATTTCAAAGATCTCAAATTCTAGTGTTTATGGAATTGATTATGAATATTGATGTTTTTGAGGTTGTAGATTTATTTTCAAGCTTGTTTGATGATTTAAACATGTTAAATCTTCCTAGAAATGTTTCCTTAAAATTCGGCCAAACTATTAAGTTGGGGAACTTTATGTTTTGATGAAATTTGATTAGGGATTTGATTTTAGAGACATTGTAAGGTTGGATGGAGGTTGATTTTGTGTTTAAATCGAATCAAAATCGACCAAAATCATGAAAAACCTAATCTAGGAACTTTGTAACTTTAGGTCATCGCTTAATTGGATGAGAAAAATTATGGAAAAATTATGTAACGGCTGGAAATGAGATAGAAAGTATTTTACAAGCCTTATAAAAATTTGGTAACCATTTAGTAATTTTCAAAAGTTAGGGGACCAAATTGATAATTTTAGAAAAATCATGGGTTGTTGTGAAATTGTTCTATAGTTGAAGTGATGTGCTGAAATTGTTGTTTAGGAATTGAAATGAGAGTTCTGATGTGAAATTGGATCATTATGGAAATTTGGAAAGTTTAGTGATTTATATGCAATATTTGAATAATTTGGAGTGTTTAAAAGTAATTATACCTTTGTAAATGTACTTGGGTGGTAATTATTTCAATGCTGGAATTTTGGTATTGCAACTTTAAGTGATAAACTGATGAAGGACTATTTTATATAAGTTGCAAAAGTTGGTTGCAAAACTAAAAGAATTAATAAGTGTTGAAATATTGATAGTGAATAAGTTTCAAGTATGATTATGGATTTTGTTTTTGAAATGTATTTATGTTAGTAAAATACTAACATATGTATTGATATAATTTGTGACTTTGTACAGATCGTGACTGATTTTGTGTTCGGAACTAATCGTTTATAAAAAGGTACAAGTTAGAAGCTTAGTGGGGCTAATATTTTGCTACATAAAGTGTAAAGGCGAGTGCAATGCATGAATTATATTATACATGCATGTTGTATACATCAGTGGAAAGACTTGCAATGAGTCTACCTTATTTTTTATAATTATTATTAGCATGAAATTTTATGTCATTCATCATATTATTGACATATCCTAAAAATTTCAAGATTGAAAATATAATGCATTGGTTACTCTTATTGTAATGATATGCCATGGATGATAATTCAGGTATGAACTGCCCATTGATAAAACATATCGATATACGTTGCCATGGATGACTTAAATTAATGACTAGATGCCCAAGTATGTTATTGAGGTTTAGCGGTATTAATGGCATTCCATAGAGTCGAGCAACTGCAAATTTAAGTAGTACTAGAGTGTCTAGTGAAGACACATAGTACAAGTCAGATGGGTAAGGCCTGACATCAACACTACGGTGTATTATTGGGTGAGCAAGGCTTGACCTCAGCATTATTGTGAGATATTTGACTCCTATAACATTGTCGTATTGATTATGGTTAATTATTGAACATGAAAGTAAGATGATCTTAGTGCATTGAAAAAAAAGACATTTAATTTCATGCATGAGTTGTATTGTATTGCTTATAATTTTAATTGCCTCACTAAGTATATACTTAGCGTGTGATGATTTTCACGTGTAGGTAAAGATCGGGAGTAGAAGTAAGGAGTATTGAGTAACACCGAGCATCGATGAGTATATTGCAATCTCAGAAAGACATCCTTTGAGGTGATTTTGACTTAGTTATTGGCATGTACTTATGAATGTCCTAGTTGCTCTGTTGAACTATTTTAGAACTGGTTTGTAATGGCTAAACTAAATTGGTTTACTCTATTTCATCATGGATAATATTAACCATTATTACTTTTATAAATGGACGAATTGATATTAATATGTGTTTTAAATATCATATGATTGTTTTATGCTATTCAATATTTAATATTATTAATTGCAATTTGGAGAAAATAAATTTTAAATCACTTTTGAGTTGAGAAATGTTTTAAATAATTCATTTGACATCTATAACTTCTATTGGCATAAGTATACGGGTCGTAGGTGTTACAAATACCTGGTTATAAAAATTCCCCAAAAAATTAAATTTTCCCTCCCCTTTTCTGTTTGTTAACTCCTCTAGTTCCTTTTTTAGATCCTGGGGGACCCTTTTTACAATCGCCGTTTGGATTTTATAGAACCCCATTTACTATAAAAAATAGACTAAAATCGAAAATTCTTTCAGATTTTTGTTTTTGTCCTCTTCTGTTGCAAGTGACCACTTGTGTGAGGCTTCTGGAGATCATTTTTGCATCATTGCCTGCCGCGAATTGTCTAGCGTTTGGCTTACCATGGAAAAGGGATCAAGGAGACCATTTCTGAGGCTTTTTCTGGTAGCAAGGTATGTGGATCAGGACCATTGTTCATGTCTTGTTGTTGATGATGATTGAAGGAGCGAAGAAAGACTGAAACCACTGCTGGCAGCTGAGACATGAACGGGGTTAGAATTTCACAAACCCTAGCCATGATAGATCTAGAGCGTTGATTGAAAGTGATCCAAGGGCTGAAGTTTGGGGGCGACATGAGCTTATAATGATTGATGTTAGGCTTTTCAATTGATTAGGCTTAGATAATGGGCTAATTGGTTGGTTAATGTGGCATTTGGTGTATTTTGGGCTTGTACTTTGGATTGGTTTTAAACATAATTGGGCTTTATTTATTTTTTATTTGAATCCAATCAGTGAATATTTTTAAACCGATTAAACTTAAAAAAATTCTCCATGCTTTGGTTAACCAAATGTAGAAAATTCATGAACCATTTTCCTTTCATGCCACCAATATCTCTTAAATAATTCGATATTAACTCACGAAGAACTTCAAATTATTCTTTGATCACCTTTAGACTGACTTGAATTGTTTGGACAAAATTAGGGTATTACAGTTGCCCCTATTTTCTTGT